ATGTGCATTTACAGCCTAGAAAAACCCACTGGACGATCAACTATAAATTGGTTCAAACTTGCCAGTAATGAGTTTGAGGGATTTTTTTTTTTCATTTTATAAATGCTGAGGTCCCATAAAACACTGAATCCTGGTCCCCACCCATTTCCCCCATTGTTTGTTCACCTGACTCCCTGAGAGGAAAAACTCTCCCTCAAATAGCTTCATGAGACTCCTCTTTTCAGCCATTTTCAAAATCAGAATTAAACACTTACTAAGTTAGCCTAGTGGACAATTGATGTATTTCAACAAACAGATGTTGCCCTCGATGTGCTCACCAAGAAGCTGCACCAAGAAATCTGGAGGAAAGCCACCTGGCCAACTGATTAGAAGAGATCCATATTGCTTCCCATTCCCATGAAGGGTGCTCCGACAGAGTGAAGAAATATCAAACAATATCACTGATAACACATGAACAAAAGATTCTGCTGAAAATTATCCAAAAAAAGCACATCAAAAAAGAACTGCCAATAGTGCAGACTGTGTTTATAAGAGGCCATGGTACTAGGTATATTATAGGTAACGTCAGATGGATCTTGGCTGAAAGCAGAGCATGCCGGAGGAATGTCTATCTGTGTTCCATTGACTATGCAAAAGCATTTGACTGTGTGGATCTCAAGAAACTGTGGCTAACTCTGAGAAGCATGAGAATCCCAGAACACTTGATTATATTTATGCAAAACCTATACTTGGACCAGAAGGCAGTTGTCAGAACAGAGCAAAGAAACACTGAATGGTTCAAAATTGAGAAAGGTGTGCATCAAGGATGTCTCCTATCTCCGTATTTTTTTCAATATATATACAGAAGAGATCATCCAGGAGGCTGAGCTCTATGAGAAGAAGTGTGGCATCAGGATTGGAGGAAGTGTCATCAACAATCAGTGTTATGCACATGGCACTGAAACTGAGAAAGACATGAAGTGCTTGCTGCAGAAAGTCAAGGACTGCAGCCTTCAATACGGATTGAAGCTCAACATAAAGAAAACAAGATTCTCACCACTAGGCCAATTGGAAGCATCATGATAAACAATGAAGAAACATTGTTGACAGCTTCAGTTTGCTTGGCTCCACAATCAACACTTTGATACCAGCAACCAAGAAATTAAAAGATGAATTGTATTGGGAAAGTCTGCTGTCAAGAGTCTCTCCAGAGAACTGAAGAGTGACGATGTCAGTTTAGAGACTAAGGTGTACATGATGCAGGTCATAGTCTTTGCAATCACTTATTATGCATCAGAGAGCTGGACAATGGCTAGGGATGATAGAAAGAGAATAGATGCCTTTGAGCTGTGGTGCTGGAGAAGAGTAATGAACATACCATGGACTGCTAAGAGAAGAAACAGGTTCATACTAGAGAGGGTGAGACCAGGCTGCTCCTTGGAGGCAAGGATTCTGAAGCTTCATCTGGCATACTTTGTGCATGTTGCAAGGAGGACCAGTCCTTGGAGAGGCACATCATTCTTGGCAGGGTGGAGGGACAGCACAAGAGAGAAAGATCCTTGATGAGATGACTTGATTAAGTCACTAGGTAATGGGAGAAGGTGTGTCAGAGACAATAAGGTTGGCACAGAATAGAGCAACATTTAGGGCTGTTGTACAAAGGGTTACTATAAGTCGCAGGTGACTCGATGGCACATAACAACAACAAGGCCTACTGGTAAAAATCTGTGCTGCAATCCCAATGGCACGTGGTTCAAATCCACCAGCAGCTCTGCAGGACAGGAATAGGCAATCTCCTCCTTAGACTTGTCTCTTGTGGCTCACTATTACATGCCATACACAATATTTGGCTTGGCACATAATACAGACTCATCCAGTACTTACTGATGAAGTAAGTACAAAACGAATGAATGAATAAAGCAGTAATGACAACAGCACTTACTTTATAGAACTTTTGTAAAGCATAAATTAGATGCATATAAAGGTGATTGATAGAGTGCTAAGAACATCACCTTGTGATATATAATTGTTGTTTATTTATAATATGGAGCTCTGAGTTGGCATAATGGTTAAGCTAAGCTATTAAAAGAAGAAAAAATAAAGTGGCTCAAGCTCACCAACTCCACGGCAGAAAGATGTGGTAATCTACTTCTGAAACAATTTCAGTCTAGGAAATCTTATGGAGTAATTCTACTCTGTCGCATGAAGTCATTATGAGTTAAAATCAACTTCACTTAATGTGCTTATAATACACTGTCATTATTCTGAACTGTAGCTCCACTGCAAGTGGTTGTCGTTGTTATGTGCCGTCGAGTCTCTTGAGACTCATAGCGACCCTATGTACAACAGCCCTAAACTCTGCTCTGTCCTGTGCCAATTGCACTGTCTCTGACACTCCCATCCCAATTACCTCAGTCACTGAATCAATCCACCTCATAGAGGGCCTTCCCCTCTTGCGCTGTCCCTCCACCCTCCCAAGCATGATGTCCTTCTCCAAGGACCGGTCTCTCCTTACAACATGTCCAAAGTATGTTAGAGGGAGCCTCAGAATGCTTGCCTCCAAGGAGCCACCCGGTTTAACCCTTTCCAGGATGAATCTGTTTGTTTTCCTAGCAGTCCATGGTATTCTCAATACTCTTCTCCAGCACCACAGTTCAAAGGCATCAACTGTCCTTCTATCCTCCTTGGTTATTGTCCAACTCTCTGATGCATAAGGTATTGCAAAGACCATGGCCTGTATCAGATGCACTTTAGTCTCCAGAGGGACACCATTGTTCTTCAGTACTTTGGAGAGTTCCCTAAAAGCAGACTTTCCCATCGCAATATGTCTTTTAATTTCCTGGCTACTGGTGCCAAGAGTGTTGACTGTGGAGCCAAGCAAACAAAAGCTGTGAACAATCTCTTCACCATCCATCCTGATGTTGCCAATTGGCCCAGTGGTGAGAATCTTTGTCTTGACACTGAGCCTCAATCCATGTTGGAGGCTGCAGTCCTTGACACTCTGCATCAAGTGCTTTAGGTCCTCCTCAGTTTCAGCAAGCAGGGTTATGTCATCTGCATAACGCAGATTGTTGATAGATCTTCCACCAATCTTGACCCCCACATTTCTCCTCATAGAGCCCAGCCTCCCGGATAATCTGTTCTGCATACAGGTTGAGAAGGTATGGAGATAGGACGCATCCCTGGTGTAAGCCCACCCCAATTTTGAACCATGCAGTTTTCCCTCGCTCTGTTCTGACGACTGCCTCCTGGTCCAAGTATAGGTTTCGCATTAGAGTGATCAAGTGCTCTGGGATTCCCATTCTTCTCAGAGTCAGCCATAGTTTGTTATGATCCACACAGTCAAATAGCTTTGCATAGTCAATGAAACACAGATAGACATTTCTCTGGTATTTCCTGCTTTCAGCTAAAATCTATCTAACGTCAGCTACAATATCCCTAGTACCACAACCCCTTCTAAACCTAACCTGGACTTCTGGCAGTTCTCTGCTGATGTGCTGTTCCAGTCATTTTTGGATAATCTTCAGTAGAATCTTGCTTGCACGTGAAATCAATGAGATTGTTCTATAGTTTCCACACTCTGTTGGATCATCTTTCTTTGGGCTGGGAACAAATATAGATCTCTTCCAGTCAGTTGGCCAACTGGTTGCTCTCCAGATTTCTTGGCACAATTTGGTGAGCATGTCCAGGGAAACATCTGTTAGCTGAAATATGTCAATTGGTATACCATCTAAAGAATAAATGGAAAAGCACTTTTGTCTCAGCGAGGGAGCTCTGGTGATGTAGTCTTGTAGATGGTTGTGTGGCTAACCCAAAAATTGGGTCTCTCTAGTGATTTGACCTAACCTATTACTATGAAGGAAGAAGATGGGCAACTTCCTCCCGTGCAATTTACAGCCTGTGAAAATCCACTGGAAAGTCAGCTATGAACTGTCTCAAACTAAAGGCAGTGAGTTTATGGGTTTTGTATTTCTCTTCTATTCAGCTGAAAAGGAAGCCACTGTAATATTATGACATTGCCCTATTGCTAATCCAAAATGCCCACGAAGGTGAGGAATAGTGCAAACACTTGGCATTTTACACCAAAATTATAAGCATGGAGAGGTACAGATGAAACAAAAAGGCAGGTAATGGCTAAGAAGCTGACTACCTGGTGAACACCAGGAGATGACTTTGAAGACCATCTGGCAGCTCAGGGCCACTTGAGTGACTTCCAGTACATAAGAGCTATGCTAAAACACAAGGCAATGAGGCCTTTCAAACGAGCTGACAGCAGCCCCTTGGCATCACAGCACCTTGTAAAGATGCAAACTCCCAATCCCATACTGTAGAGAAAGAGGCTAGACTGCCTGAGGAAGAAACTATAAAGGTTCTTCCTTTCCAAAGAAGTAGTTTTCAAATTAGTTTGTGCATTAGAATGACTTGAAAGCTTAATAATGCAGCTGCATTGGAATTGACTCAGCAGTCAGTAGATTTTTGATGGAGCTTCTCAGGTCTTTTAGATACAAGGCATATTAAAGTATTAGCCAAATAAGCACTTCCAAAAGTTTAGCTAGCTGGTGAACTAAATATTCAACTAAATTAGATGTCTAAAATATATATTTATTGTCTTCACTGGATGTGTATTATGGCTATAAAGTTAAAAACATAACAAGTTAAATGTGAATCTGAAATAATTTTTTCAATAAAGTACTAACTCAAAACAATTTTATATTTTAGTATAAAATAATTTAAAGTTAATTTAAAGTTTTCACAAATCATAACAAAGACTTATTATTTTATCATTTTTTTCAAATTTGCTTTATACATAAAGGAAATTTATGTGTAATTTTCAGACAAGTTTACCTACATATAATTAGTAGCATCAAGTTTTAATCTAAAGCACAATTGAATTCTTTGTTAAATGTAATGATTTATATTTCTATAGCTAAAAAAAAAATAGGTAATTGATACGGCTAAACAACTATGTGTAATTAAGTCATCAAATCATTTTTTTAAAAAAGAGAGACCCAAACATTCACCTTGTGCATACATTCAAATTCAAATGGTTGATATCATCTTCATTATCATTTACAACAACATCTAAATCAAAAGCTTCTTGATCTTGAAGAGATCTTCGTCTTCTAGAAGACTCTGAATTTTTCACATTATAAACAACATTGAGCTGCAATAAAAAGCAACAAATTACTAATGAACTAGCCGCAATAAATTGCCAGTAGGGTACCTTCTAAATAGTAGGCACTAATTTTGAGATAATCCCAATTAGATTTATAATAGTCTTCAAATTGTAATAAATTAATTGCTTTACTAGCTAATACATTTTCATTATTAACAAAGGTCATTGTAATAATTTATTAAAAGCATACATATGTTTGTATGAAGATAGCTCTGGTGGCCTAGTTGTAAAAAGCTATGCTGCAGCTGTGGTATATCCACACAACGGAATACTACGCCGCATTGAAAAACAAGGAACTCATGAAATATTATTCAAAATGGGTGATCCTGGAGGACATTATGCTGAGTGAAATATCTCAGTCCCAAAGGGACAAATACTGCATGGTGCCACTGTTGTAGAATGGGTCTGACAGAAAAAACTGGATAAATTATGTACATTGTATTGAGACAGATGAGGGAAAGAACAGATTAGAGATGAGTATTATGGTTAGCACAGGAATCCAGAATTAAGGTTGCATAGAGAAGTATACTCGGGGTGGGGGGGTAGGGGGGAAGGGATGGGGGAATTGTATACTAATGAAGGAATTTTTTTTTTCTTTTTCTTTTCGGAGAGGGGAGTGAACTGGTGGGGAGCGGTGGGCAGGGAGAAAAGTGCGGCAATAAATAAATGGAAATCCCAAACCTCTGTAAATGTTTATTAAAATTAATAAAAAAAGAAGAAGAAAAAAGTAGAAACATCCATAGGCAAAAATTAGATAAATTCTCTTTTGAAGCAAACTTTGTACCCTGAAATACTGAGTCATTATGAGTTAGAATTGACTTGATGATAACCTCAACTCAACACTCTCAATACATAGCTGACTCTCCAACAGGTTTTCAGAGTCTGTAAATCTGGGAGGAGATTGTCCATCTTTCTCCTTTGGTGTTGCTGATGGATTCAAATTGACAGAGAGGTGCTACCTTTGACTTAGCAGTGTAACTCCCTACTGACTCTGTCCCCAAAGCTCCGTGTATGTAATGTATAACTCAGAACTTATTGCTAGAGTCAGACTCAACTCATAGTTTACCCTCCAGGGAGTCAAATCAAATGGTAGAAGATTTCTCATCTTTCTCTCTTTAAACCACTGCTGAATTAGAACCGCCAGAAAGGCACACCCTTTGGTTTAGCAGTGCAACTCTCTAATAAAGTGTGCTGCTAAGAAAAAAATTTAAAAAAAAAAATCTATGCTGCAATCCTGAAAGCATGCAGTTCAAATCCACCACACACACACACACACACACACACACACACACACACACACACACTCTCATACATTCCTTTTGCTTGGGTGACAGTACCCACTAATTTCTAATCACTATTGCCCAATTTAAGATAGCTAGGTAGCACAGTTTATGCTCCTTTACCAACATGAGTCTGGCAATTCAAACCCACCTAGCAGCATTATAGAATAAAGGTGTCACAATCTGCTTTTTAAAAGATTTCATGCAATAAGGTCTGCCTTGAGACCTTAAGTATAAGGTTGATCTAAATGGGGTCAAAAAATGGCAACAGCTAATTCAAATATTAGATAAGAATGTCAGAGGCAATGAGGTTATGTTAAAAAACAAAAATCATTCCAAAAAAGAAGATGAGATTGGAATCAGTGCTACTGAACTATATGTGTAGAAACTGGTGTGTGTTTGCTCTGTGCATTGGCAACAGAAAATAAATAAACAAAATTTAAAGGGGAAAAAATAGAGCCAAGAAAATCCTACTCAGCAGTTGTATTCTACATCACATGCTCATGATCAGGCAGAATCACCTCCACAGCAACAATCTTTTGGGGTTAAACTGTTTAGATGAAATATTCTTATTGTTGTGTTTAGGTGTCATCAATTACACTATGAATCTGAGGGACTCTGTGAACTTTGCTTTATACTGCACCAGCCTCATAATAACTTTTATGCTCAAGCCTATTGTAGCCACTGTCAATTCATCTCATTGAGGGGCTTCTTCTCTTCTGTCAACTCTCTCCTTTTCCCAGCACAATCTCTCTCTAAGGAATGGTTTCTCCTGAAAATACATCCAAAGTAAGTGAGATGAAGTTTCACCATCCTTGCCTCTTTCTGGTTTCCCTTCCTTCAGGACAGACTATATTTGTTCTCCAAGTGTTACATTCCAATGTTACATTCAGTCCCTTCACCAACACTACAATTCAAAGGCATTGATTATTAATTCTTCTTTGGTCTTTCTTATTCATTGCTCAACCTTCAGAGGCATAGGAAGCAAGTTAAAACACCAAGGCACACCTTAGTCTTTAAACTGATACTCTCGGATTTTCACTCTTAGGAAAGGTCCTTGACAGCAAATTTCCCAGTTGCAATGTATCTCTTGATTTCTTGGCTGCTGCTACCATAGATATTGACTGTGGATTCTACAGCACCTTTCACATGAGATCATTAGAAACTCTCAGTAAGGTAAATTAAAGATGATAAATTAAATGGTGAATTTCAAGACAACAGTGTTTTTTCCTGCAAATAGTCTGTGTCTATTAACGTGAAAGGTATTGTGAGGATACTGAAGGAAAGGATGGAAAGTTTGCCATCTTTCTCAAAGGATTTAATCCTAAAGTCAAAAGGTTGGAAATGTCCTTGACCAAGATCATTCCAGCATAGATGTGCATATATTCCACTGTGTTTTACTTCTTCTGTTGGTTTTTTTTTTACACCAGGTTTCCACTGCTATGTAAACCTGACTTTTGTTTTAGTCTCTGGGGAACCTTTTCTTTCCAACTTGTTCTTAGAATAAAACACTTAGAATCATCAAGCAGTTAAAAATACTTCATGAAGGCGTGTTGCACAGACACTGATGAAGGTGCATAGAGACCAATGCAGGTATGCAGAGACTTATGTGGACAGTAGGAATTTAAGTCATAATTTTTATTAAAATAATTAGTTTGGTAGTCACAGGATCAGTGAGTTATGGGCCTCAGCGGAAGCTGCCAACTGAGCCCTGGCCAGAGCTGCCAGTCGAGCCACTGTAGAACCCACCCACCAGAAGCATGCAGGTCAGCGGGAATTTGACTGAGATTTCTTAAGCCCAACTGACCCACTGGGAGCAAGGAGGTCAACAGGAATTTGACTGAGTTTTCTTAAGCCCCGCTAGACCCAGAGTCCTGCTGGGACAAGAGCTGCTGGGCGAGGGCCACTGCTAGAAGAGAGCCACTGGATGAGAGCTGCTGAATGAGAGCCAGAGAGCTGGAATTTGAGTAAGAATCCCACACACAAGCACACCCGAAAAGCTGAAATCTGAGTGAGGTCCCTATGCATGTCTGTCCCAACCTGTGCTTCCCTGCCCTCATGCTTGCCTCACCTTGTGCCTAGCACACCCCCTCAACAGCTCCACACCTGTGCCTACATGACCAGCTAACTAACTTGCCTTTACTTTAATCCTTAGCATCTTTATCTAACTTAGCTAAAAAAGGCTACTCTCCCAGGCCCTGAACTGAACCTTTCCCTGAGTCAGAAGTTCAGAGAGAAACACAGACAGGGTAGCTGCCCCACAGTTTTCTAGAGCAGTGACTTCAGATCAAGAACTCGCCTCAGGCATGAAAAACTCTACCACAGCAATGTCACAAAAGAAGCAGGCTATCACACATTCTACAAAAGTGCAAAGCAAGATCTTACCCCCAAAAGGTGATACAGTATCAACGGATTTCCTGAAGCTATAAAGTCTTATGGAACTTTCTGACACAGAATTTAAAAGAAAAATGATTGAATATTATTAATGGGTGAAAGACAAACTTGAAGAATTATATGACACTGCAAGCAAAAATCAGGAGGAGCTTATAAAGCAATTCAGAACAATGAAGATAAAACAAATGAGGCATTAGTGGCACTGGAAAAATAAGAAACCATGATCCAAAATATGAAGTCCAGTGTATCAGATGCTGTCAACATGATGGAGGGACACATAAGCAGAGTTGGAGAGATGGGACACAGAATCAGTGAAATAGAAAATAGAATTGTCACCACTGATCTGCTAGAGCAAAAAGCAGAATCAAAATGTAAGGAAAAAGAAGAAAAACTAAGAATAATGTGGGACACCATCAAGAGAAATAACATGTGCACCATTGCAAGAAGCAAGTAAAGGCACTGAAAAAGTTGTGGAAGAATTAGTAGAGGAAACCTTCCTAGGCATAAGGAAGAATAAAAAAATAGATATTCAAGAAGCTGAGTGAGCACCATATAGAATAAACCCCAAATGAAAAATACCAAGGCACATTATACTCAAATTTTCCAGAACCAAAGAAAAGGAAAGAATTCTAAAGGCAGCAAGGCAGAAACAAAGAGTAACCTATGCCCTGCGGGATCGTTCTCTTGAGCAGCTCGGGACCATTTTGGCCGTCGTCTGCCTTTGAGCGCGACCTCGGCACCTGTGCCGCGCGACCCTGGTTCTTTTTTTGTCGTCGGGAAGGATGTGACCCCCACGCGCCGGAGAGTATGTCATGGCAGAGGGGGCTACAGACTACCCAGGCAGCTAGAGGGCATAAACTGCTTTCCAAATTTAGATGTGGTGCAGTGTGCCAACTATTCTCTAGTATACTGAAGTCCAGTTCTGCTGACCAAGCATCTGAGCAAGTGACCAGGTATTCTCCATGGGCTCATCTTTCTGGAGTGTGAAAAGTGGATAGTGTCTCACATGTC